TTTAGAAGGTCTGGTGCTACGTCTAAGAACATGTGATGGAGAGGGAGAGGGATTAATTGAGTCTGAGTTGGATACTGGAGAAGGAGAAGTAACAAGATCTTGTGAAGAAATAGAATCGAGGAAAAGTGGATGATCCTGTTTAGATTCATGATCATAAGAACGATGAAGATTATCTTCATCATATGAATGAGATAAAAAAGTGTCTGAAAGATCATTTAACTGGAAAATATCTTCATTACTGGAAAGATTTGGAAGACGAATTGTGGATAGTTTTGGCTGATAAGGGAAGATATTTTCCTGAAACTTCACATCCTAGATACTATGATCTTATGTAAGGCAGGACAGAAAATCTTATAACCCTTTTGATGAGAAGTATATCCTACAAAGATTCCTTGAAAGGAACGGGCATCAAATTTATCACGATCAAGACCATTGCTGACAGCCAAACACTCTTAGACAAGAAAGACCGATCTCCAATTGAGCAATGGAGAAGGGATTCTATTTATAAGATGAGTAGCTGTAAGGACTGATTCCCCCAGGAATGTTGTAGACATATGTGACTGAATCAATAAAGCTCTAGCCACTTGCAAAATGTGGCGATGTTTTCTTTCTACTACCCCGTTTTGTTGGGGAGTACAAGGACAACTCCTTTGATGGATGATGCCCAAATCTAATAGCAATTGCTGGAATTTTCCACTGAGAAATTCAATGCCATTATCTATTCTTATGATCTGAACTTGGCTATGAAACTGAGTTTTAACATAAGAAAAGAAAGAAGCAATGATATTTCCAACCTGTGTTTTATGTTTGAATAAGAAGGTCCAAACACTACGACTGAAATCATCAACAATGGTGAGAAAAAAACTGAGATCCATTCATAGATACTTGCTTATAAGGTCCCCATACATCAATGTGCAGCAATGAAAAACTCTTTGTTGTCTTAATACAACTGGAAGGAAAAGAGTTTCTATTCTACTTAGCTAATGGACAAATAGCACATTGTTGTTGATCATTACATTCAATCTATGGCATATGAAGATTTTCAGCTACATTCTTCATTACAATAGATGATGGATGGCCTAATCTATAATGCCAGATAGAAGGAGAAACAGTGTGTAAAGCAGTCTGCAAACTATTTATTTTGGATCCTATTACAGAAGGATTTCTAAAAGAAAGAACATATGAGGCATAATATGCTTGTGATTGTAAAATAGTCTCTCAGAGAAAGAAGTCCTGTCAAGAATATAAAGGCCTTGTACTACTTTTCCGCAGCAATGACCTTATTGGTACATAGGTCCTGCACTAGGCAGAATGATTCAAAAAATTTGAAATAGACATGTGAATCCTGAGCAAACTTGTGAACGGAAAGCAAGTTATGTTTGAAAGAAGGCACATATAGGCAGTTTTTAAGGGTTACATTGTTACTCATGTTGTAATCTCCTATAGAATGAACAGATTTTATACTACCATCAGGTAATTGAATAGGAGTATAACAAGTAGCAACTTTAACATGGATCAAAATAGACAAGAGAGCACACATGTGACTTGTAGCACTAGTATCAGATATCCAAGCTCCCCTATGTATATAATCAGAAAGCTTAGAACTAAGAAAAGTGAAGATTGTGCTACCTGTAAAATCCTGGAAGTGTGCAAAGTTGATTTGATTTCCACTATCACCATCCATTGGAAACTTTCCTTTCATGAACCTTCCAAGTTCTATCTGAACTACCTCAGCTATCACGACATTCCAGTCCTTATCATTATGTCCACAAACATCAGCAGAGGAGTCAAGATGACTAACATGATGTGCTGTTGATGGCTTAGTCTTTGGCAGTTTCCACCAGTCTGGATATCCTTTGATCTTGAAGTAGTCCTCCTTCAAGTGACCTGTCCTGTGGCAATGAGTACAAAGCAGATGACTCTTATCCTTCTTCACTTGATTCCTTTGTGCAGAATCCTTCTTCTGATTGAAACCTTTTGCCATCGTAGCTGATCCTTCATTCAGAGATACAATAGAATTGGCCACGTGCTTGTGTTTTTCAGCCTTCAACAGCATGGCATATACCTTATTTGCTGTAGGAAGTGGATCCATGAGGAGAATTTGACTTTTCTCTGCTTCAAACACATCACTAACACCCATCAGAAGCTACATCACTCGATCTTTAGTTTCTCGTTCCATGAGAACACGTCTAACAGCTTCATTGCAGGAAGGTATGGACCTTAGTTGCTCCAATTGATCCCACAGCTGCTTGATGTGGCTATAGTGCTGAACAACAAAGAGATCTCCCTGTTTTGCTAGTGCAATTTCACGCTTGATTTGATACAACAGGGCAGAATTCGAAACTCCATACCTCTCATAAATCTCATCCCATAGCTGCTTGGCTCCAGTGATGAAGGTAAAACTGTGGACGAGTTTTGGAGAGATAGAATTCTTAATCCATGAAACCACCAATCTGTTAACTCTGCGCCATTTGTGATATTCAAGTGAATTTTCCGTCGTCATAGCACAGCTGTCGTCGATGAATCCTAGCTTCATTTTTGCCTCAAGAGTAGTGATCATTGAATTCCTCCAAATCAGATAGTTCTTCTCCGTCATATAAGCTGTCACCAGTATCAGACCTGAAAAATCTGATCCATGAAGAGTCAACTGCTCATCCTCAATCATAGTAAAGGCTTCGTCGCTTGCCATTTTTCCAATCAGATTATCAAGAAAACGATAAAGAAGTAAGATAAAAGACTGAGATAGTTCAGATTCAAGAATTGATCTGAATAAATCCAAGAAAATTGATGAAAAATGATGAATTCAGATCTGAAATGAGAGTGAGATAAAGAACAGCGGAAACGATTGGCGATCGGGCAGGAGATTCCTGCTATGATACCATCAAACAGAATCAGATAGGATGAAAAATGAACAACAAAAGCAGACAAAATGCTGAAAGATCTCTTCAATTTTCTTGATGAATTTCTTTGTATATTTTCTAATCTCATCTAATCTGCACAGTGCCCTATTTATAGAGATGTATACAAGAAGATTTAACTAATTACAATCAGAGGACCTAATCTAGAAGCTTCATCATAACTGCCTCTAAGATAATTATAATTTGAGGACTTCTGAAAACGATCAAGGCAGTTCATGAAGTTTCCAGGTCATCATCGATCTTTCTGGATGAACTCCAAACTGAAATTGATGCGTTTTCCGTTTTGCCAGCTCAGCAGGATCATCTGCAAGTTGTTGTTGTGCATATTCATCAAATGCACGTGCTTATGTTGCAAGAAAGCGTGGAGAAGAAGTCACGCAGAAGATACTGTTGTTGACTTCATTCGCTGCTGATGCTGACTCACCACTCTTTGACTTCTGTATTGCTTTATACTTCAAGAGTCTGCGATAGAAATGGAATCCTCAACCTCACGATTAAAGATATAATGCTTTATAGGGCACCACTTGTTTCCTGCTGCACCACCATTCGAATGAGAGGAGCAGTACACATATGTTTGTTTCTTGAACTGTTAACATCAAATATTGTTGCCGTGTTGACTCTATTTAAAAAAATGCTCTCTCTATATATACACCTATCCGTCATTGGAAACCATTTGTCAGAATTGGCCAAAGTACTACTAGTAAAAGACAATTAACAAAATGAGAAATATAGTTTACCTAACCAAAAAAAGAGGAAAAAAAAGTCACAAATTATCTGCTTATTTTGACCCATTTATCTTTATTAATTATTTTTTGTTTTTTTTTGTTTTTTTTTTTGTTTATTTGTCTTCCGAAACCAACTCCTACATATCCTAACAAGAGACGTTTTTTTTTTTTGACTCCTTTACTTGACTGCCAAAATGAATGGGACTCCATCGAAGACTTCCAAATAATTTTGTTTTTTCCCATCCCTCTTGGAGCTTGGAGATACTTGGCAATAGGGAAGAACATTTCAAGCGTTATATTTATGTTTAAATCTCATTCATCCAAAAAGTTAACTCATTATATATTACATTAATAATTGAACAATGAGACGGATACTTTATACTCCCTCCGTCCCACAAAAATAATCCACATTAAGTTTTAAGTTTTGTATTGTTTTTAGTACAAATTTGAAAACTCAATGTGAACTATTTTTTTGGGACGGACATAGTATTATTTTATACTAATTTTTAAGTTTATTCTTTTGCTCTAGTGTGCAATTCAGTGACTGTCTTTTCCTACGGTTTTGCCACATTTCGAAACTAGAGACAAAACTTTGATCGCAAGAAGAAGGCAAACTGACAGAGAAAAGAGAAAGACAAATTTGGGAACATATAAAGGTGATCATATATAAAATAAGTTAAATAACCTTCGTATCCATTTATAAAAAGATAGCGGGCACATTTTGACTGCAAATAGGCATTCAAATTTAGTACCATAAATGTTATTTACTGGATAATTTTTCTAAAAACCAAATTCTGATAGACAGCTCCATGCTATCTACATATTTTGTTTCTCAAAAATTTTCCATTAATTATAATGGTGACGACAAATAGTGCTACTTATTAAAATACCTAAGAAGCTGTAGTTAGTAAATAGTAAAGAAGGACAATTTTTTCTTTAAGAAAAACGAGCATGTGTTTATTTGTACAAATTCTAAATATATTATAAAACGGACTGATTAAAATACGAAATATGTTGGTAAATTTAATTTTAGTAAAAAGAACTGTATGATTTGTAAGGGTGACATATATATTAAGTACTACCAAATGCTAGAAATTAATAAATTCCAATGAATAAAAGATGGTTTCTCCGCCAAAAAATAAAAAAGAGATACGTCCTCCAAATTAATTAATACAACTTATCAATTAATATATAGTACTATTTTTTTATGCGTTATAAAGAACATTATAACTGAATAATCATTCTAATAGAGAGTGAGTAATCTTTGATTAGAAATTATTGCAAGAAATGGTAAACGAGTGTAAGGCATGCATAAAAATTAGAAACACTAGCAAATAAACATATCCAATTCATAAATGCTCGAATTTCAAATTACTAGGCACAAAGGACAAAAAATGCTAACTTCCTTGCACTATCAATTTCTTTTTGTAACTGTTGTTTGCTTTACATTTGACTTTGCATTTTGATTACATTATTCAAAACAAGCATGAATCGAAAAAAAATAATTGTCTTATATTCAATTTATAAAAAAATCCGCATGTCCCGAGAATGAATGGACACTTGTAACGTTGCTAAATAATAATCAAATTTAGAGGCTACTAATCAAAAAATCAAAACTAAAATAGAAAGAAGGGGAGGGATGTCCATTCCCCTAAAGTAATTTCCTGGCGAAGTTGTGTTTAAGGACTTTATTCCCATTTCCCATTGCTAATTATTGTTACTTGTGACACTCCCATTATTGTTACTAGTTGTGGCGGCGGCGGCAGCATTGGTGATGCTATTATTATTATTATTATTATTATTATTATTATTATTATTAGTGATACTGTTCGGATGTGAATTCCCGATCAAAGAAGTTATCGCGGCGGCCAGAGCGGCGGTAAAATTAGGGTCGGCGGTGAGAGCCGTGACGGTATCCGCCAACGGAAGTGGCAGCTGGCCGTGGTGCGACGGTTGCGGCAGTTGTTGGTGACCTAATTCCGCAGCTTCTCTGCTACAACTATCTTGCGACATTTGTAGGCCGGAGAACTTGGATTGGTTGTACAATGCCGCTTGCCCAAAAATCTGTGGCAAAAGGGATGTCGCCGGATTAGCGACGAAATTTTGCGTCGCGTTAGCTGGTGGCGGGAAAGGGATTTGGAATTGGTTTGGGGGTCTCTGGAATTGCAATGGGTTGTTAGGGTTTTGAGTTAGGTCCAAAGTAACAGTAGGAAATGGTGCTGAAGCTGAGATTGTAGCCATGCTTGATGAACAAGGGAGGAGAGTTCTTGCCAAGAAATTAGAGTTCATGATTCCATCAGCACTTGGCATTGAACCTGAAAGCAGCATTCTTGCTGCTGATGATGTTGTTGAAGCCATAGCCATGGCTGCTGGTGGTAATGGATGGTTGTGGTTTCCTTCATAGGTTGTGATCAAAATTGTTCTGTCCTCAGCACATCTTTGAACCTGTTTAATTAATCAATGGACAAATGAAACTTCATTAGTATATGAGATATAAAATATATGGTTATAATGTCAAGAGACTTAATGTGAAAGGACGTACAAACTAATTTACGGATCGAATGGAGATAAGTTTATGCATTGTTCATACCCGTTTAGAATACTTCATTATCGAGCCATTATTGTTCCCTTTTTTTTTCTTTTTTTCTTTTTGAGTCATTACTGTTCCTTCTTTTATGATATGAGTTAAATAATAGTAGAAGTACGAACCATTAAACATGGAGTCCAACTGGAATGTGTAGAATTTGATTACTCAATAATTTAGTCCATAGTTCCATCCCGTAAATAAGGGATCACTAGATATGTTATAAGTTAAAAAGTATATATGATTTGTACCGAAAAAAAAAAAAGAAAAAAGTATATATGATTAACTGATATAGGGTAAAAGTTTGCTTTTATTATTAATTTTTTGCCCTTATTTTATTATTATCATTCTTGTTTTTATCACACCCACAATAATAATAATGAATCTGAAAATAATATATGGCCATCAATTTGATTTATCATGATCCGCAGTTGAGAAAAATCATTCAACTTTGAAGATGGCAGCAAGAATTGGTCAACGGGACTGCTGTCATCAACTAATTATTATATGTTACAGATTTAGATAATTTATAATATTGAAAATCCTTAATTTATTTATTCTTACGTAAGTCAGTAATTAAGTGTAGTTTAACTTGTTATAAGGGAAAAAAAACATACTTGTTTCCGAACTGGGCAGCCAGCTGCCATGGTACAGCGGTAATAAGCTCGGGGACACGGGTTTCCTTTGGCCATTTTCTGACCATACTTCCGCCATTGACATCCATCAGTGATCTAAAATAGCCATTATTAATCAATATCCCAGTTAAATTAAATCACAAAATTGGTAATTAACAGTAAAAAGAAAAAAACAAATTTAATTAGTAAAATGAAATATCAAAAAACTCACCATTGGTGCTTCTGATCGAGCTCTGACAGATACTCTAGCTTTCCTCATAGTCGCCTCGGTAGCCTGATCAACATTTTTCGTATTATGATTATTATTGTTACTACTATTATTATTATTATTATTCAGCCTTGCAATTTTGTTGGCCCCCCAAGATCCCTTTTCAGGACTATCCTCAATCCCATGATCCCCGATGTCGGTGTTAGCCTGAGGCGATCGGGATAGTTCCTGACTGCTGCTGGCAACACCGACACCGCCACCGCTGTTGCTTTCCGATGATAACGATGTCTCATCGATGTTGACGGAAGCAGCAGCAGTACCGAGCCCGAGATCCATGAACTGCTTAGGCACCATTAGTCCTCCTCCTCCTCCCCCGTGATGGATCTTTTTGTTGTCTACTTCCATTTTTCCATCTTCTTCTTCTTGATGATGATGATGATTGTCTCTTTGTTGTTGCATTATGGCCATCAAATGCATTTGTAGATTGTTGTAGTTGCCTGTGACTTGGCTCAAAACTTCTCTCAACCGCTGATTCTCCACGTTCATTCGCTCTAGCTCGGCTTGAAGAACCGCTAGCTGCAAATTCGACACAATTGAATTAGCACAATCCATCAACGTATAATAATGGTACTAATAGAGTGCAAAATAGATAGAAAGAAAAAGAACAAGAAAAGTCTGAAGTCTGAAGAGTGAATATATATGTACCTCGCTTTTGGATCTTTTATCATCAGAGTTTGGAGAGATTCCATCATCCACTGTTGATTGATCACTGCTTGTGTTTCTGGTGAGCAGATGCAATCCAGTCTAAACCAAACAAGAGAAATTCAGCTAAATAATGTTCTTCATAGAAGAATTTATTTTCAAAAGGAGTTTTTTCTTCTTTTTTTTTTCCTTTCAAAAAACAGAAGAAGAAACTTACATTGATATTGAAGCCCAATTCATCAGAAGGTCCACTGAGATCTTTTTGATTATCAACACCATCAACAACAGGAGGAGAAACCACACTGTTCATGGTACCTTCTGCCTTAGAAGACAACTTATCCAGTTTTTTATTATTATCAGCAAAAAAATCCATCTCATGGTGATGAACGTCACCGTTCCGTGGACGACCTGAACGGTTTTCTTCATCATCGACATCGTCATCGTCATCATTTCCATGGCGACGACGACGATATTGATGATGGTGATTAGAAGAAGCGGCGCAGTTAAGGCTGACTGGGAACTGAAAAGTAGTCGGTGGTGTCGGGTCGTCGTCCATATCCATATCCATACACAAAAATGCTTTCTTTTTCCTTCGCTTTTCAGCAGCAATATCAGCTTCTTCTTGTTGATGATGATGTTGGTTTTTTTCGGGTACGGATTTTAGGTTATGAAGAAGATGATTATTAGGGTGCGATTGTTTGTTTTGTTGTTGAAAAGAGTATAATATATGAGTAGGGTTGTGGCAGAAGAAGAGATTATTGGAGATGCGATCTGGATCAAAGGAGAGTCCACTTCCTTTGGCCATTATATGAAGAAGAAAAAAGGAGAAAGAGTAAAGTGAAGACTGAGAAGAAAGGTTTGAATGAGAGCAATGGACTCGGCAATAAAATTGGGAGGTTGTGACTAATTAAACTAGGATGACCAATTATACACAAGAAGAGAGAAGAAGAGGATATATGCTTAGTATATAGGAGGTGTGGTTCTAGATTTGTTTGAAGAGAAACTGATGGGATTTGATCTCAAATTTGTGGGAAAAATTGGGGAAAAAGAACACGAGGTCTTTTTTCCTCTTTTATCAAGTATTTAGTCTCGTTTTCTTCTACTATATTTGATAGTTGCTTTTTACTTTTTTGGCTAATATTTAAGCTTTAATGTTTTTTCTCTTGTAGAGAAAAAAAAGTCTTTTGGTTTTTGGGTGCAAATTATATTTCTTTCGTCTCAAAATAAGTTTAACACAACAAATAAAACAGTCTTTTCGGAAATGAATGAATATCTGTTTTTTTTTTGTTAAAATAATGCGATCATATGTAATAGTGGGCAATAGGGATATGGTGACATCTATGTTTACATTTTACTTTGATTTATGAGTTAAAACCACTTGAAATCCAGGCGTGCGTACCTTTAAATTTGGATGATATTTGTGTTTTTTTGTTTTGTTTTGGGTTTTTCTTTAGTTAGTTTTGCTCGATCAATCATTTTGAGATAATTATATATTTGGAGCGCTTTATTAAAGGAAAAATTGTTGAATTCTCTCGTCCAAACTAATTTTCCTCTTCTTCGCAAATAAAGATTCTTACATTGACTAGACCAAGTCTTTGTAGAGATTATGTGCTTTAGAGAGACTTCAGTGTTTGTATAAATCCAAATCCATGTGGATCTTTTGTCAAACAAAAAACCACCACCATAAGAACTCTCTCCTACTATAATAGCGAAGACACTTGTAAAAATTTTAATCAAACATGTTTATTTTTCAGTAGAGAAAATCTAGGTAACAATACGATTTTATTACTGCCCCAATTAGGGCTACAATATATATGTGTCATGGTCTTTTCCATTTGAAATCATCGCGGTTATGACAATTTAATTCTATAACGATGAAAACTGTAACTATTCAGTCAAATTATCCAGTAACGTAGACATGGCTTATAAAAAATATATACACCCAAAATTTTAAAGCGTTCTCTCTAGGTATCGTTCTGGTTACGTTAAAGTCATGGATTATGCTGTATTATTATTTCCATATATAGTGTATAAAGTAAGAAACATTGGTGCAACTTGATACACATTACACAAGATTCGAAATTGAAAGTCATCCCTTTATTAAGTCGAGGTGTGGACTGAGCTTCTCAGCATTGACAATGAGAAGAAAGAAATGTGAATGCCCTAATAAATGTGAAACTGTAGGTACCTATCAAATTGATTATCAAGTCTTTCCGTGTTAAGGCATCCACTTAATTATATACAGTCATCGTAATCAATCGCTCAAATGGGGTGACACTAGAGTCAACGCAAAAAACAAATAAATAAAAGATTGCACACAGTATTCAATTGATTTTTTTTTTTTTTTGTATAAATTCGAGTTGAATATATATAATTACACAAGGGGAAAATTTGGATTAAGGGCAGTGGATAAAAAATAATTAATAAAGAGGGTAACACTCTTAGATAATTTGTATTAAGGGCATAATCATTCAACAATGCAAACATGACTCTAACTCTTGAAATCAAATCTTTTTTTATTTTATTTGATCACACTTAAATTAAAATCTGTTTCCAAAGTGTATAAATGATAATATTTCAATAGTAATATGAAAATAATATAAATATATTGAATTTAAAAATATATTCATTTCGTTCTCCTAATTATTAAAAAGTACTTTTAAGATTTTTTTCTTCAAAAATATCTTGGAAAAATTTAGATTAAGGGCAGTGGATAAAAAATAATTAATAAAGAGGGTAACACTCTTGGATGATTTGTATTAAGGGCGTAATCATTCAACAATGCAAACATGACTCTAACTCTTGAAATTAAATCTTTTTTTTCTTTCATTTGATCATAAATTAAAATCTGTTTCCAAAGTATATAAATGATAATATTTCAATAGTCATATGAAAATAATATAAATATATTGAATTTAAAAATAAATATTAATATTTTCTCATTTTTATTAGGGTGTTTTAAATTTTTTTCATATAATGTTAATTTTGTTAAAGTAAATAATTTGTTTGCTTTCACATAAATCAAAATTTCCAAAACCTTATATTTAAATTAGCCATACAAGATATTTTACAGTACTTAAATTAATATTATTTCTTCAAAAAAAAAACTAATATCATAAATTTTATAGGAGTAACAAATTTTAGAATTTAATAATATCAGAATTTATGATGTTTAATTTTTTTAATCAATTACTACTTCAGTATTCTTATACTAATAAGGCTTATGAAAAAATAAATTGATAAACTTCTAAAGTAATTAAATTGATATTAATAAGTTTTTTAATATCTAAAATCATGTTTGTATGGTTGAATTGTTATGCCCCTAATACAAATTGTTCGAAAATACTGCCCTCTTTATTAATTATTTGTCCTCTGCCGCCCTTTATCCAAATTTTTCTTTACACAAAAAAGAAGAAGAATAAAATTATTGTTATATTATGTGATATTCAAGGCAAATAAAAAAATATCATTCATGGATACGCGAATCATATATTGGTGGCCAACATAGAGTAGAGTAAAAAGGGTTTAGTTGAATAGTTGTTCTCAATTTATTAATGTGATATATTCAACGTCTTCAAATAATTCACCAATAACAATCAAAGAATAAGTATTGAAGTGAAAAAATAATACTCCCTCCTCCGTCCCATGATTATTGTCCAGTTTAGGTTTTCACTTTTAGTACACTTTAAACTAAAAATGAAAATTCAAATAGGACAATAATTATGGGACGGAGGGAGTAATTAATAATAGAGTCACCTTTTGTTGATGAAACCTTTTATATTTGGAACCCATCAGCCACATGAATAATGGAAAATTTCTATTTAAAAAAAAAGAGACATATAAATAATATTTGGAGTGGGGATAGGCTAATGTTAATTTGAGTTTGATCTGCTGTGCATTTGGCGTCTATTTAGAAACAATACTCTCATTGGGGACCTATGGATATAGACTACAAAACAGAGGTTTATTGAGCCGATTTATTCATCCGCCAGAGTGAAATGTTATTTTTATTTCTCGTGTATTCCCTCCATTCCATAATTATTATTCAGTTTGAATTTTTATTTTTAATTTAAATTGTATTAAAAGTGAAATTTCAAAATGTACAATAACTTTGGGACATAAAGAGTATATGTTACGATATTATAAGAGCTGTTGATACGTTAATGTTATCGACCATTGATTTAAATTTTATACTATTATTATTTGGGTGAGGAATGGAATATATAGTTATATATCGAGCATTGGTAATAGGAGCCGATGGGCAAAAAAGAAAAGAAAAAAAAAAAAGAGCTGATGGGCAAGCTGTAAAACGTAGGACCAGGAAAAAAAACAAAACAAACAAACAAAACCAAGTGATCATATGGAGATTTCCAATCTGGGAGTATTAGGCCGCAGTCAAATTGACTAATTCTTAATCCGACTTGGCGATTTTGGTCTAGGTTTTCGTCCAAAATGTTTTGATGAGATTGACGCGTTCCACATAACTCATCCGTCGAAAATAATCGAAACAGCTTATATACCCCGTAATGTCATCATCATAGACTTAGCAAGGAAATTTTATTGTATTGGAAAAATTTGGATTAAGGGCGGTAGAAGGATATATATTAATAAAAAAGGTGTAACTCTTTCATAATTTAGACTAGAGACGGTAAACTAAGTAACACAAATTTTAAAATTAAAATATTTAGGAAGTGATAGAATTACCCTTATTCTTTTACAGTTTCATTAGATGATGGTATAGTTTCTTTTACAGTTTCAGGGCGATCACTCTTGCTTATTTACCGTTTGCAACTGAAGCATCATAGGAGCTCAGTTCTGTTTGCAAAGTTTGTTGCATTCAGTCCTCTGTCCAACTAGCTTTTACAAGCTATAACCTTAAGCATTCCCTGCTGCAACGTTAATTCATGAACTATTTTGGCCTTCTCCGGTTCTCCCTCATGTCTGAAATCATCTTCTCTATAGCATCAATAATTTATTTCGGCAGAAAATATTCTAAATAATCTAACCTCTCCCCTAAATCATAATGTTATCTTCTTCAAATCCAACTCATTCAAGCTATTAACCTTAATTCCAGAGTGCCTGCCAATATAACAGAAGGTCTAGAAGCGTCAATTTTTGAGTTCATCGCTTCCTTTCCTTTCTTACTATCATGCTCCTTGTCCTCTTTTCGCTCACTTTTTTTCCCCAAAAAATTTCCATTCTTTTCATTCTTCTCTTCGATTCCAATGCTCAAACTCGCCATTTTGTCCAAATTTTCTCCATCTGCCTCCTCAATTTTCCCTCATTCCACCTCAATATCCTCATAAACAGGCGCTACATTTATTCTAGTGGATCAAGAAATGAAAATTGGATATTTTGGAAAAAAAAATCCTTTGATTTTGTAATTCATTAATTAGATTGTTGCGAATGATACATGTAATTTTGGAGAAGATGCCTATCGGATCCAAAATCTAAGCCAGGAATGAAGTCGAGAGAATAAGGGATTTTGTTCTTTCAAAATAAATAAATAAATAAATTATTTAATACAAATAAGGACAATCGTGTAAAAGGATAAATTTTTAAACTTTGTAATTTTAAAAAGTAAATTACTGTCTCTAATCCAAATTATAGAAGAGTTACACCCCTTTTATTAATTTAGATCTCTCTACGCCTTTAATTCAAATTTTTCCTTTATTTTTAGTATTTAAAGATGCATTCTACAAAACTCACCCGCTTTATGTGGCCCACTTTGAGAAATTAGAAAAGTATCGACCAATAAATATGACAATAATTTTGAAATGAAAAAAATATATATATAATATATAATTATATATATTACGTATGATTTTATGTATCTATAGTATATCTACATACTATACTAAGGCAAAAACCAGAGAGAGGAATCTAAAGTCAAGGAGCACATGCCACGTAGGATTTTATCCTATGTGGCATTTTCTTAATTTTCTAGATACTAGATATAAAAATGCATAAAATAAAACAATAAAAACCAAAAA